TATATTTTAGATAGAATAGGCCTCTTATAAGATTATTAACGTGATGAATATCCCTAAAAATCATGAGATTTCATTTAAAAGTATAAATGCAAAATTCTAATGTTCAATTTAAAGGTATGGCAGAGAGTTACAATTTAATTAAATAATAATAAAACTTGAATTTACCTTTTAATATACTTTGATGAGAGGCAGCCAGCAGAGGTCAGTATGAAGACAATTCTTGCCATTGTGATTCCTAGCAAGTCAAAAATTTAACATTCTTATCATTACATAACATACAGATGGATTGTGTTTACAATATATTATATAATTATTACTATATTTATAGCTATGGTAATATAATAATACTGTGATAGTACTAGTAGTACTGCAGGCCTATGCCCCTACGGTAATTCAGCTATTAAGGAACTTTGTCATTGAGTGTAGGCTAGCTTCGGCTAGCCTCTTGGCTATAGACTAGTATTTCTTTAATACATGCATGCTTATAGAATTTGTGCTGATTGTTGCTTTATGAAGAGCAGAATAGAGCATATTATCTTTTTTAATTATACCTGACATTAGAAATGAAACTAATTTTACCTTTTTAAACGGCAATGCATGTGCATGGTACATACTGTTGAAATCGGCTGAGGCTATCGGCACTGCCGCAGTGCGAAAAAAAGCTGCTGTTTTCTATCGGCACTGCCGTAGTGCGAAAAAGCTGCTGTTTTCTATCGGCACTGCCGCAGTGCCAAAAAGCTGCTATTTTCTATCGGCTCTGCCACAGTGCGAAAAAGTTGTTAATTTCTATCTGCATTATTGCCGCAGTGCGAAAAAAGCTCCGATTTTCTATCGGCACTGCCGCAGTTCCTCAAACACGGCAGTTTTCTATCGGCACTACCACTCGAAAAGCTGCTGGTTAATTATCAAATGGATGTTTTTATCTATAGATTATGGTATCAATAATTGGTCAGGTCTAGCCTAGCCTATGTTATTGTTAACATTATATTATATATGTTTTATAATTAATTATACTTATTTCTAATTATTAAATATATACATATATCTAGGCCCATACATAAAACAAAAAATAGAACAAACATTAAAAATAAAATAGTAGCAATAATAATAATAATAATAATAATAATAATAATAATAATAATATAATAATAATAACAGTGCTCGAGTAATACTATAATAATCAATAATAATTGTTTGATTAATGAGATGAATCAGCATATATTAAATCAACTTGCGTCTATGCAAAACCTGTTTTTTTTTAAATATAGATGTTATCTATTTTATTCTGTTTTAAAAAATAATCTTATAAATTATAAGTTTATTTTCTATGATAATTTTATCCACATAATTCATGATTTCAATGTTAGTATGGTTGATAAATAATATATACGGTAAAATAATAATAATAATAATAATAATAATAATAATAATTAAGGTGCTCGAATAATGCTTTAATAAAGAATTAATAGTACTTCAATATTACTTCAATAGGCCTATTTTCGATAGTGTGATTAATGAGATATTTGTTGATTAATTTATAGAAATATATACTGTAATAGGTATAGGCCTAGCCTATACCATTAATAATTAGATCAACTTACGTCTACAGATGTAAAATCTGGGTTTTTTTTCAATCAAACGTTACCTATTTTATTCTGTTTAAAAAAAATAATCTTATAAATTACCGTACATTATAAAGTTTTATTGTAAATTATATGAGAATTTAATCCACATAACTTATGTTTTCAATTATTTAAGCATTTAAACAATTCAGTGGGCCTAACGCTGGATGTAAATGAATAGTACTTCAATAATATTTCAATAGGCCTATTTTCGTTAGTGTGATTAATGAGATATTTGTTGATTAATTTATAGAAATATATAATAGGTATAGGGCTATACCATTAATAATTAAATCAACTTACGTCTATAGATGTAAAATCTGTTTTTTTTTTTTCAATGAAACGTTACCTATTTTATTCTGTTTAAAAAATTAATCTTACAAATTACCGTACATTATAAAGTTTCATTGTAAATTATATGAGAATTTAATCCACATAATTTATGTTTTCAATTATTTAAGCATTTAAACAATTCAGTGGGCCTAACGCTGGATGTAAATGTAAGACAAAACAAAAACAAAAGCATCGCCAAAGTGTTTTCATGTATGCAAATGCTAATACTATCGCGCGATTACCGTGTATTGGTAAACAGAGCTCAGGATGGTTCACACGAGGTGAAGAATATCGGTCGAAATGCCGTGTAAATAAACTGCGATTAAGTAAATAACTTTCACAAGAACTTCACGAATATGGTAAATGTATGATGAAATGTTTAACTGTTAAAACAAAATTTACGGTTACCTCCTTAATTTCAGCTATGTAATTATTAGTTGAATGAATGAAAATTGGAATAAAAATTTATATATGGGATATATGTTTATGTATGTGTATGTATGTATATATAGATATATATGTGTTTCATTGCGTATGTATATATATATATATATATGTATATATATATAT